TATTATAATAATAATAATAAAAACTGATAAAACAGTAATAATAATAAATGTAAAAGATAAAGAGCATTTATATGCGCAAATTCTGGGTTCAAAAGCAAGCTTTTTACGTTTTACAAGCTGTGTTGACAAAAAGAAATGGACACAGTTATTGACATAGCCTAGACTCCATCAATCATTCCTTAATTTTGAGGCGGCCAATGACGTAAAAGCCCTTTACCGTCCTCATCTTCGTTCTGTGAAATTGTTTTCTTCCTGCTTGTCGTTACAAAAACTGAGATTCGTCTTTTTAGCAACAGTAAATGCAGCCTTCTCCTTTTTAGTTGAGGAATCTTTTTACACGTTATTAATCGCCTCTAAAGTAAAAAAACACACCCCAACAACAACAGAAAAAGAAGTGCAAATACAGCGCTTAGGCCTTCAACTCACTGCCTGGGAATAGGAGCCTCCTTTTGAGGTGTGAAATCAAATTTGTCTTACTTATTTACATAGGCAGAACGAAAAGTAAAGAGCCCCTGATAGACATTTCCTTCTTTGTTTGGTTTGTCTAGGTTGCGCTTGGCAAAAACATGCTTACCTTACTTTTTATGACCACATGCAAGGATTCACGCTCTATCTCTATTCAAAAAGTGGTTTGTTGGCGCATTAGTGTGATTCTGATTCTTGTAATGCGTTTCAGTGTTACTATGCTACGTTCAACCCTTTTCCTGGTGAAATATAGACGATATCTTCTGTGCAGTGAACTGTGCTTTAATCATTCTGATCGTTCTTAATCCTTTTCAGCTGTATAATTTAGTGCCACACAACAAATACATCCACATGCGAGATATTCAAAATAAAATGAAAATATCGACACCATACGTACGATATAGTTCTACGAAAGCCTGTGAAATTGATAAATTGATGCATTACTTAAATCGGTTTCTACTGTTTAATTAAGTATTCTCCAACACTCACCTTTACAGAGAAATAATGTAAGGACTCTAACATCTGTAACAAGTCATAAACTAAGGATAACACGGCTTCCATCAGATGATAGCCATAAACTTGACTTATACCATCATTAACTGGTGTTTGATTTTGTGAAATAATATTTTTACGGGGAAAAATTACATCATGTGTTGAAAACTGTCGTTAGAAGGTTAACCTTTGCTTTCCCTACCTTAAGAAGAAAAATGGAAAGGGCTTTTTTTTTACATAGTTATCACGATAAGGTAGTTTCTTCGGTTGACTAATACTATTTTTATATACAGTGGAAACCATATATAACAGGCCCGGTAATAACAGGGATCCGGTAATAACAGGGATATTTAAAATCCCCGTTTTTTTCCTACTCTTTG